GGACCTCAGGGGCCTCGGAATCTTATATAAAAAGGACGACCACCAGGGTCGTCCCCACCCCCCAGCTCCTCACCCAGCTCCGCCTCCTCCTTTCAGCCCTGGGCCCTGCTGATCCTCCCCGAGCCTCAGTTTCCCCATCGCCACGTGGCCTCCCTTTACCCAGAGTGAGGGTGGAAGGAAGTCGGGTTCCCAGCCAGCTCAGCGGAGACAGACAGACAAACCCCCCAGACAGACTTGCGAGTGTGAACTAGGGGGGCTGTTAGGGTGCAGCTGAGTCTGAGAGCCAGGCTGGAGTGGAAGGGTCATGGGGTCACTGGTCAACACCCTCGGCCTTGGCCAGGACAAGGGGCGCCAGAAAGGCGTGGAAGCACCAGCTCTCCAGAGGGAGCTGAGGTGCAGAGAAGGTGGCCCCGAGGTCCCTGGGCAGGCCTCAGCGGCCGGGACAGACGGGGCAGCCACAGCAAGAAGAGTGACAGATGAGGCTGGAGCCAGCGGGCCGGCTGCAGATCCCACGCTGCCCGCCCCTGGCCTCCGGGCCCAGGCTCCCTCCCCCGCTGAGCTGCGATGGGCCCTTCACTTCCCCTCTCTCCTCTGGACGGGGAGCCCCATGCGGGCAGGGACTGTAGCTGTCCAGGCCCTGCTGCGTCATCCCAGCACCTGCACATGCTGGTGCTGAATGAATGAATGAATGAGACGGCGGAGGAAGGCCCACCCTGCATGGCTGCCAAATATGGCCCAGCCGGTGGGGCTCAGTGGTGGAGCAGCGACCTATGAACCAGGAGGTCAGGGTTCAATTCCCAGTCAGGGCACATGCCCAGGTTTCGGGCTCGATCCCCAGTGTGGGGCAGGAGGCAGCCAGTCAGTGATTCTCTCTCATCATTGATGTTTCTATCTCTCCCTCTCCCTTCCTCTCTGAAATCAATAAAGATATATATATTTTTTAAAAATTGTTTATTGCCCTAGCTGGTTTGGCTCAGTGGATAGTGTATCAGCTTGCGGAACAAAGGGTCCCAGATTCAATTCTGGTCAAGAGCACATACCTCGGTTGCAGGCTTTTCCCTGGCCCGGGCCCTGGTCGGAGCTCATGCAGGAGGCAACCAATTGATGTGTCTCTCTCACATCGATGTTTCTCTCTGTCTTTTCTTCTCTCACTCTCCCAAAAAATCAATGAGGAAATATCCTCAGGTGAGGATTAACAAAACAAACCAAAAAAATAGTTTATTGGTTTTTTAGAGAGAGAGGAAGGGACAAGAGAGAAACATTGATGTGCGAGCATAACATTGATCGGCTGTCTCCAGCACGCCCCTTACTAGAGATCCAGCCTTCAACCCCGGCATGTGCCCTGACTGGGAATCAAACCAATGACCTCTTAGTGCATGGGTGATGCTCAACCAACTGATCCACACCAACCAGGACTGCTCTGTTTTTAACACCTAGTTCTACTATGCTCTGCTGCATAAGGTTAATATAGTCATGCTTTAAGGTTGGGGGCGGGGGGGGAACCTTTTTCTGCCAAGGGCCATTTGGACATTTATAACATCATTCGCAGGCCATACAAAATTATTAACTTAAAAATTAGCCTGCTATATTTGGTCAGACATTTAATTACCTCACCCCTCATGCCTTGACAGGGCCAGACCAAATGATTTCCTGAGCATTAGTCAGCCTGCAGGCCGAATGTTCCCCACCCTTGCGTTAAGAACTTGCTCAAAAGTCCCCTCCTCTGTGAAATTTCACTATTTTGCCCAGTTATTCTGTCCCAGTGCTCACACAGTAGTTTCACATCTCTGTAATCACACTTATTACATCTTAAAGTCTTGTGAACTCCTCTTCAAGGGCAGGGATTATTTTTCCTTCAGATTATTTCAAGGCCAAGTATAATGCTGGGTGTATGCATCAGTGAATGTTTATTGAATAAATTTAGTTAAAATAACAGTACTCTTGACCCATTTGTTCTATAAGCAATTCTAAAGATATTTTTCAGCATATGCAAATCAAGCACTTGCTACTCACATTAGATTAACAGCTGTCAAGTTACTAGCATCCATATGTGTTACACCCTCTCAGGGTTTCTATTCAGTGTTAAAATGAATTCATTAACTTCTAATATTACTAGGACTCTTCATTTAAAGGCAGTATAACTCACTTTTAGAATCTGAAACTTATAAGCAATATATCTTGACTAAATGCCTCTTATGAATACTTGCCTTGAAATGGTGTGTGATGACTGCCAGATCAGATTTTGATTTAGATTGGTTAATTTTTCCTGCTAATATGAGAACAAACATTTTATTTCTCAGATAGGAACCCAGAAGATTTACTTCAGATATTTTTCAATGAATATTTTAATAGATTGAAGTCCTCTTTAAATCAAATATTGATCCAGAGGACCTCTGAGGAAAAAGTGTATTTCAGATCTGAGGGTCAGTTTGGAAAAGGGAAAGTGGCATGTGTGGTATCTTGCATTAAATTTCCTGGGGAAATGTGAGTTACTTTTTTTTTTTTTTTTTAAGAAACCCTGAGTTTTCAGTATAGAAATTTTAATTCCTGCTCCAATTAGTGGTTTTAGAAAAATTCTTTTTAAAATTAATGTATTTGTCCTGGCCAGTGTGGCATAGTTTGTTGGGCGTCATCCCATGTACGAGGTTACTGGTTTAATTCCCAGTGAGGACACATGCCCAGGTTGCAGGCTTAATCCCCAGTAGGGGGCATGCAGGAGGCAGCCAATCGATATTCCACTCTCATATCGATGTTTTTCTCCTTCTCCCTTCCTCTTTTTCTCTAAAAAATAAAGAAAAATATTTTTTAAATAAATAACAATTACATATTTACTTTAGTTACTTTTTAAAAAATAATTTTTATTCTAATTACTTTATAAAAAATAAAAAAATACGTAGAAAATAGTAAAACAAGGTAACTTTTTTTTATTTTAACTCCCTTCAAAATTTTTTTGGAAGAAGTTACTGGATTCATGAATATTATAGATAAATTGTAGGTTAAATAGTGAAATGGTTACTATCGAGTTTACAAAAATAGTAAATTTATTTTTTGTGTCTCTATACTTTTCTGATTATTAGAGAACAAGTGCATTTTGAGCTATTAGACTAAAAGATTTAAAAGATTGTTTTTGAAATATACAATTTACACTTTACATAATTGAGAAAGGAGCCTTCTAATATTACACACTATACATACTTTTTGTCCTTTTTCAATTGACATTCTATAAGGGAAATCAGGAAAAACACACAAAGATTGTAACTCTAATGGCTGCCTATTATTATTCATATACTTGCGCCAAAATTTGCTCAATCGTTTTTTTATTTGGGTAGGAAGGCTATTCTCAGTTTTTGAAGATTATAAACAATCCCTCAATTAATATCTTAGTGCATAAATCTTTGTCACACTTTGTTTTTCCATAGAGTAAATAGCAGAAATAAAATTACTGTCTCAAAGTGATTGACTGTCTTTAAAGCTCTTGAAAGATATTTCTAGTTGTACCAGTGTAGTATATGACTGTGATAATTTGCATTTATTTTTTTAAGTGACAGGAGAAATGGTATTCAAAAGTTGTGTTAGCCTGGCCGGTGTGGCTCAGTGGTTGAGTGTCGACCTGTGAACCAGGAGATCAGGGTTTGATTCCCAATCAGGGAACATGCCTGGCTGTGGGCTCGATCCCAATGTGAGGCATGCAGGAAGCAGCTGATCAGTGATTCTTTCTCATCATTGATGTTTCTATCTCTCTGTGAAATAATACAAATATATATTTTTTAAGTATTTTTTAAAAGTTGTTTTAGTTTTATATTTATGTGATTAATAATGATATTGAACTTTAAAATCTTAATTTATGACTGAATAAGTGATTGACAAAAAAATATCAATGTCCAATAAATATATGAAAAGTTATTGAACTTCACTAGCAATTCATGAAATACAAAGTAAAATAATATACTGTTAGAATTGCAAAAATTGAAAAGAATGATAGGACCATGCTGAAAGAGGGTAGGAAAAATGCTGGGAGTAGTATACATTGATATAGCATTTCTGAAGGGCAGTTTATCAATGTTTATCTAAAACTTTAAATTTTATATATACTCCTAGAAATTTTATTCCTAAGAACAGATCTTTAAAATGTTAAGAAATTATAAAATGTATTTAGAAGAATGCTTATCTTGAAGTTTTTCATAATTTTGAAAATTAGAAATAACCTGTAAGTCCAATGATAGAAGATTGACAATATTTGATAGCACATCATGCAATGGAATACTTTACAACTATTAAAAGAAAGGGTGAGGAGGGAATCAGTGATTTTTGAAGTGCCACTGTGATCTGTAAGTGAACCCTTAAACTAGTTCAGTGATTAGCTATCAGCTTAAAAAATAAAATAGAGTAAAATAAAAGCTATTTGTAAGTATTGTTTCAGGGGACCTATTTCAAATATATTTACATATATTTATGTGTCTGTTGCATCTTAATGTAAAATGTATGTCTCACTATGGTTATGGTAAAAATTATTTGAGAAACACTAGTGTAGAGCTTTAATGTTTCATATAAAAGTGGTTTAAATTATACAGTGAAAAAGGTCAAGGAAATGTACATACATGTCAAAAAGGCAGTGTATAAAACAGGAGGATTCCATTTGTATAGATGTAGATATTCACATGTGACTACACACAGTGTCGAAATTGATTTACACAAAAAATTAATAATGGTTATATCTGTGTAATGGGTTGTGGTTTTACTTGTAATTTTTTAAAATTATGAAATAACAAGTCATTAAATTTACCCTATTATCATCTAAGTGAAAAGAAATTATGTTATAACCACTAATGATTAATATATTAATCACTCATATGAACTAATAAGAAACAGTACCAAAGCCTATAATGATAAATGCACATAGGAATGAAGAGATAATACATAGGTTACAACATGCAGATGGAGAGCAAACATGGGAAATTGGGTAAGTTTATCTTTAATTTTTGTCATTCTTTATATTATACAGAGATGGACAAGCCATTATTTTTGTCATTGATAGTAGTGATAGATTAAGAATGGTTGTGGCCAAAGAAGAACTTGATACTCTTCTGAATCATCCAGGTATGTGTGTATGTGTGTGTGTGTGTTTACATAGGATGTTTTGTCTTTGGTGTTGGCAAAAAGTATTGCCTGCACTATACAATTAACTTTTCTTAAACACTTTATGCATAACTCATAATATCTTTAGCTATAGCACCATATGTTTTTTAAATTGCAAAGCTCTTTGCAGTGTTTTTTTGTTGTTTTTTTTTAAATATATTTTATTGATTTTTTACAGAGAGGAAGGGAGAGAGATAGAGTTAGAAACATCGATGAGAGAGAAACATCGACCAGCTGCCTCCTGCACATCTCCCACTGGGGATGTGCCCGCAACCCAGGTACATGCCCTTGACCGGAATCGAACCTGGGACCTTTCAGTCCGCAGGCCGACGCTCTATCCACTGAGCCAAACCGGTTTCGGCTGCAGTGTTTTTCAAGTCGGTTATATTTATTTTCCCCCCAGATAAAAACATCCTTTCTTCTGACTTATATAAATAAACTA